ATGATAACGCGAAACTTGTTCACCGGCGCGCGGCTGCCTGGCCTGGCAGGCTGGCATGGCAGCGGGGACTGGCGGACTGGCGGACTAGGACCCCTGTCTGCTGGAACTCGGCGCTGCTGGGCTGGCTGGGCCGCTGGAGCGGCACCGAGCGATAAATTATCACCCGGCAAAAGCCATTTTCAACTTCTAATTTCCGCCGGATGAGCTGCGCGATTTCTCACACTCCCCCCCCCCCCCCCGCCGCCGCCGCGCCGCCGCGCACCTCGGTGACCTGCAGGTGCCGAGCGGAGATAAAAAAAAACAAAAGGAAACACAAACAATTGGAGCGGCGCCTAGTGCTCGCCGCCGTCCGCGCCTTCCTGGAAGCCATGCTAACTCGCCAGTGTGTTGATGGTGGTCCGCGCCCCGCACCCCGCGCCCCGCCCCAGGGAGGGGAACGGGGGGAGGGACGCGCTGCTGGCCCTGCCTTTTTGGCTGAGCGATAGCGAAGCCCTTGCCGTGTTTGGGCGCTCCGAAAAGTGACTGGTCGTGCGTCTGTCTGTCCGTCTGTCTGTATGTAATCACTCACGTTTCTCAGTAACTACTGAACGAATAGTATCCAAATTTCACACCTGATGTCTCCTAAACATCCTACAGGGGGAGTTTATCTTAGATTAACAATTATCATCGTTTGAAATATTCAAAACATCATTTTGAACTAGGTAATTGGCGTGTTTAGGTTGGTAGCAGCGTGTGGCAGACCAATTTCTCATACCGGCTGCCGCGCTTGCAAGCCGTCTGCAAGACGGGACGGCACTTATGCAAATAAACAAACTAAAGAGCAAAGGGGTTCTCAAATTCTTGGTTCCTCGGCTCCTTGAAATTGCCTACATTCAGGGGACAACATACAGCGCTGCGGCACGGACATAATGCGAACTACTGATATGGCGGGAGATTTTGAACTTGGAACATTTCAAACAAGGTTTGGGAAGTGAATTTTGATCCGTGTGACCTAAATTTCAATGAAGATGCTTCCCATGATTAAATATTGTGGCCTAAAGTTGATCCCAGGCACATGATTGACTACTTTTTGGTGTTCCCAAGAGCTCGGGTTGGGGTGGTCCGACTAAAGCTTTCTCGACATTTTTTATTTTAGACCTAATGTTTTTTCTTGAATTATTGATTGACTATTTTTGTGTTTTGTGATCACTGATCATGTTAACCTAATGTTTCATTAGAACTTCAATGTTACTTCTTCTTGAACAATTGAGTGAAAACTTATTTATGCAGCTCCTTTTTTCTTTGACTTTTTGTACGCAAATGAAGTGAAAAATTAATGTTTAAAATTTGTATTAATTAAATCTTAATATATACTAACAAATCGTTCACTTGCATGCCCTTATTATCACAGTTAAGAGAGAATTATGGCTGTAGTGTCAATTTCTTTATGAACTGTGATAAGGGCGAGCAAGTGAACGACTGGTTAGTATATATTAAGATTTAATTACTACAAATTTTAAACAAAGGTGAGGAACATTAATTTTTCACTTCATTTGCGTACAAAAAGTCAAAGAAAAAAGGAGCTGCATAAATAAGTTTTCACTCAATTGTTCAAGAAGAAGTAACATTGAAGTTCTAATGAAACATTAGGTTAACATGATCAGTGATCACAAAACACAAAAATAGTCAATCAATAATTCAAGAAAAAACATTAGGTCTAAAATAAAAGATGTCGAGAAAGCTTTAGTTGGACCACCCCAACCCGAGCTCTTGGGAACACCAAAAAGTAGTCAATCATGTGCCTGGGATCAACTTTAGGCCACAATATTTAATCATGGGAAGCATCTTCATTGAAATTTAGGTCATACGGATCAAAATTCACTTCCCAAACCTTGTTTGATATGTTCCAAGTTCAAAATCTCCCGCCATATCAGTAGTTCGCATTATGTCCGTGAGGTAGCGCCACGGGTCGCCGATGTTAGCAGCAGGCCAGAGGAAGCTAGAATAGGTACTGAGATAGTTTTTTAACATTCTAGAATGATTGAAACCCTTCCGGGGTGTCAACAGAGGAAAATATAGAAACTAAATGTGAGAATGGTTTACGTGTTTCGTTCCCCTCTTCCCCCTCCCCCGTCACAGGAGAACAGGTCAGTGCAGTGTAGTTGTGGATTGTAAATAGAATGTTTTCTTTGCCTTTGTGTGCATCTACTGATTTTATTCTCTCTGATACTATCCTAATTTTTAAATTTCATAGTAAATAAAATCAGGTAAATGCATGAATAACTTCTGTTGAAATTAGAAGACATGTTAATTGTCTTGGTTTGTCTCGGGGAAATGACACTCTATTGCAATGCTGCAAGCTAACATAAATATTCTAGTACTTACATCTATTGATTAAAAGAATCCATAAATAGATGTATTTTGTGCAATAAATAATCCATATATTTAGTGCTAACAGATTTTGAACTGATACTGGGTTCAATGAGACGATTCAGGTTTTGAGCGGTGGGTGACTTGGTAATTGCTTTTAATGGGACGATTCCTTTAACTTCACCAAAGCTTGTGTCCAACAGCTGGAACCAAGTATTGGTAATGATTTAAAAGCTGGCTTTCTTAATGTAAGCCCAATGTTAATGCTACACTGTATTCTTTTACTCTAAAGATAAAATATCACGAGGCATGAATAAGGTAAATTAAGTTGGCGTATTGAGCAACAAGTGGCCTCTGCATTTGACTTCATGAGACGATTCACTGAATTTGACACAACTTGTTCTCCGTCAAATGCTTCAGATCAGCCTGCCGTAAACTGAGTCACTTAATGAAAACTATGATTACATATTCCATTCTGTATTGTTTATTTCACTGGTTTTAAATGAAAGAATGACAAAAGGCTTCTCAAATATAACTAATAAATTTGTGAATTCATTAGTTTGAAGAAAAAGATGTATCGAATAGTGAGTCAAGCAGACGAGTAGCTAATTAAGCGATTCAATGCTGGCAATGGAATGTTACTCGACTGAAGGAATCGCATTGGTGTGGCATTAGGGTATTGGTGACGACAAAGGGTGATCCATGAAGACCAACCAAGACCCATTCTTTACCGATTATTGATCAATTTGATATCGATATTTTTCAATCGAATCTCATATTGATTCTTGGAGTTTTTCGAGTGCTGATTATGAAAACCCCTTCCATTTCTACTCCAGACTTATATTTTCATCTCAAATTAGGTCATTTCGGACCGAAATTTTCAGGTCGAGTTTTATATTGTTTCCTGCAGTGTTTGATGAGCTGAACTCAAAAATAACTTCCAAATTTTTCCCAGACTCACGCTTTACCTAATTTTGACCAAATTTGGACCAAAATTTTTGAATTGAGTTTGATGTTGATCCCAACAGTTTTTTGTGTGCTGATAACGAAAATCACCTCCATTTCGACTCCAGACTTATATTTTCATCCCAAATTAGGTCATTTTGGACCAAAATTTTCAAATAAAGTTTTTTATTGTTTCCTGTAGTTTTTGGTGCGCTGAACTCAAAAATGACTTCCAAATTTTTCCCAGACTCACGCATTACCGAATTTGGACCAATTTTGGACCAAAATTTTGGAATCGAGTTTGACGTTGATCCCAACAGTTTTTTGTGTGCTGATAACAAAAATCACTCCCATTTATACCCCAGACCTACATTTCACTCAATATGAGCCCACAAGCTGCAGTCCGAAGTGCACAAATTCGCATCGCTCAGCCACACTACGCGCCCACACAAAACGGCGCGTACCCCTAGTATATTATTTTTGGACTCCTTTTGTCTCCGGCGGGCTCCCAACCGGCCTCTCACCTGTTTCCACGAGAAGCAAACGGCAAGAAAATTCACTGCAGTGTTTCGTCCTGGTCGGGCCGGGCCGGCCCTCTCCACCCGACTGAAGCTGAAGCACCCCGGTACCTGGTCAGCGAAACCAACGGAAGTCGTGTCTCTTCTCGGTGGGTCGTCGCAACGACCACAAAAAGTTTCGCGTTGAAAGTTTTTTTTTTGTTTGGAGGAAGAAGAATATTTTTCCACTCAACTCTTAGCTTTTTTAAATTTATTTTTGAGAATTATAGACGTATATCACAAATGCATTTTCCTTCAAGACGCGAGTTGGAAAGTCTCGCGACGACACAATCACTCTGACACTCTTCCGCTCTCTCTCACACACACATAACACTGACGCACACATACACGCACACACATTTATTAAAGGTACTAATTTTCTTTCGCTCGACACGCTCTCCATGATTCTACTGGCGATATCCACGTAAAAGACATTGATAACACAAACGAAGGCTTAAGAAAGAGGTACATTTACATTTTCACGGAGTCTGGCGTGCTTGACAAATACTAAAGTTGGAACTACTACCGGGAAATTTTACATCTTTGGTTTCTACAATAATTTACAACTATCTGGAGGGAAGACCTGTACTTTGTGCGCGTTCCGAAGATAGAGAACTCAAACCGGCGATGGGAGCGTTGAATAGAAATTAAACTGTCCAGTGATCGTTGTTTGTTTTCCCGAGTCGATCGAGGTTTACAAAGAAAGCGCGGAAACGGAGTGATATGTAAATTCGATCCAGCGGGTAATGGTGAACGAGCTGAAGTCCGGTGAGCGTTGACTTTAACGGGGGAAGCAGCGGCAAGCACGAAGGGCTTCTACACGTTACAGCTTAAGAAAAACAGAGACATCGCGCTTCTTTCAAAATCCAGGTACAATAAACGCTACAATGCACATCCCACGCGCGGCGCGCGCGGCGTCACCTCAACTGGTAAAAAGTCAATTTCTTGCACTACGAATCCGTATAGCAAGGCATCACAGTGGGTATAAAAAAATGGTTGTCGCTGAGTCCACGCAGCACTGTAGCACTTTGAGTCTCACTGCCGCTCGGCGTCCTCTGGAGGCGTGGACGGCGATCAGCAGGTGCGCCCCGCCCCCGCCCCCGCCCCCTCCCCCCTCCCCCCGCCTCCGGGGACTCACACCGGCTCGGGCGGCGCCGGGGCCGGCGGGGTCGAGGGCGGGGAGATCGGCGGGGAGGTCCGCAGCCCCGGGGGACCGCATCAAATGGCGACCTCCTCCAGCTTGTCCGAGGAGTTGACCCGCGTCTGCCGGATGGACCCCACCGACGACCTGCACAGCGAAGCCAACCCGTCAGCAGCAGCAGCACGGGCTCCACCACCACTACACTGTGCGGTGACGCGGTGCCTACCTGGGCGTGTAGTCGCGCAGGTGTGTGCAGGACCCGTTGTGCTTGGTGGCGCACAGCCCGCCCAGCCCCGGCGCCGACCCCCGCGGCGGCGTCACGGCGGCGAACGAGGCCTTCTGGTTGGAGTTGATGGACGCCGAGGACACCATCTTGGAGGGCGTGGGCCGCTTGCGGTCCAGGTAGGCGCCGGCGCGCATGGACACGCTCTCGTAGCCGCCGCAGCGCGCCGTCAGGATGCGGCGGAAGGCGTAGCGGAACTCCTTGTTGAAGATGGAGTAGATGACGGGGTTGAAGGCGGAGTTGGAGTAGCCCAGCCACGTCAGCACCTGCGCCAGGCCAAAAGAAAAATACGAATTGAAATCTGGAACCGGAGGCGACAGGGGACCTGTCTCTGTCTCGTCCAGGGGGAATAATTTCCGGCGTCCCCTGGCAGGGTTTGGTGAGCGGACAAACAGTGCAATTCGCAATTCACGACTTGCGTCCCCCCGTGTGGCGACGGCGCGCTGGAGGCACCGCCCTCGCCGTGCACGGAGACCTTCCTGCGGCGGGAGGCCGCCGTCCCACCCTGGGCAGTTTCGCCTTCGTCTACGCCTCGATGATGGATAGCGCGACGCCGTCCTCCTCGGCCCCGCCCCGCCCCGCCCCGCCCCGCCCCGCCCCGCCCCGCCCCGCCCCGCTAGTGAAAGGATCGCCGCCTCCACCCCCAGATTCGTCCCCCGCCATACACTCACACTCCAGCAGGCAATCTGTAAAACGTCACCTTGTACACCCCTGGTCCCCCACCCCGCCCCACCCTGCCCCCAGGGAGGTACCGTCATGTGATGATGCCTGTGTTCTGGCAGGAAGGTCACCGGGTCGCCCCTCCGCCAGGATGACCCGCTCGCCGCTCGTTCTGGAGGACGTCCTGGGGGAGCCGCTTGGCCGCGACATCAGCCCTCGAAGCGGCCTGCTGGGGGCTCATCCGTCTCTACACTCTACACGCCCCAGTAGCGCCACAACGCCAACACGCCAAAACGCCGCGTCGTCGGCACAACGCCAGCCGTTCAGTGAAGCACACACGCACACACGCACGCACGCACGCACACAGACAGAGACGCAGTCTCATTCACACTCCCAGGCGGCACTCCGCGCGACTGAGTAATGAAGGTGAGAGCCCGGAGCGAATTGAAAACTTGCTCTTATTGTCTCTGATCCAGCTGCGCTAGCGCAGCGCAGGGCAGCACAGGGCAGCACAGGGCCCAGCAGGGCCTCGACACTGACAATGGAGGGAAGTCATGCAGAGCAAAAGGGAAACGAAGTTTGGGGAGGGGCCGGCCGGGCCGGGCCTGGCTTTCAAGCGGGGTCGGCGTTGGCACACCCTGCGCCGCCCTGCCGCCCCGCCGCCCTGCGCTGTGGCCTAGGTGCGGAAGGTGAAAAAAGAGAGGGCAAAAAAAAGGCCAAATTGGAATAAGTCTCGCAGGGCGAAGAATGTGGCTGGCCCACGAGAGGAGGGAAGGGGGAGTCGACAGATTGCAGCCTATTGTGTCCACAGCGGCTCGGCATAAAGTCCCTCCTAAGTTTTAATTATTTCCCGTAAACATTCCGAGTCCGGTGTTTATTCTGGAAGTTAACGCAGGCTCCTCGGCGTGCCCGGCCCGGCCAGTCGCAGTGGCGCAGAGTGGCAGTGCTGAGCAAGAGCACACCCACCTTGAAGGCGGAGGAGGGGATGCAGTCCTTGCAGTAGGCGGCCACGATGTTGATGACGAAGAACGGCACCCAGCACACCAGGAACACGCCCATGATGACGCCCACCGTGATGGCGGCCTTGTGGTCGGACACGTGGTAGGGCGTGGAGTGCGCGTGGAGGTGCAGCGGCAGCGACGGCCCGCCGCCCACGCCCACCCTGGCGCCGCCGCCCGCCGCCGCCTGCGCCGCCAGCGGCCGCGTCACGGCGCGGATGTTCTTGACGTGCTTCTGCGCGTAGCAGTACAGGCGGCAGTAGATGCCCAGCATCACGACGCACGGCACGTAGAAGCTGCAAACCAAGGAGTGGATTAGTCGCCCCGCCGCCACGCGGATGGCCAAAGCAAACGACACAAAACGGCGTCCCCCCCCCCTCTCCCCGCCGAACGCGGCCGAACGGGACCGCACCGCGGCTCCGCCCGCCAAATTAGTATTTGTATTTAGCTTTTCTTTCCGCGGCTCTGTTTTCCCATCATCCCTGCGCAATCTAAAAACGAGATAGAAATTATTCGGCGCGGCGGCCCCGCGGGCTGGAGGGGGAAGGGGGTGGGGCGGCGGTGGTGGTGGCCTTAGTGTTTTATTGATGCCTGCATCGGAGGCGGTCTGCCGCCCCGCCCCCCGCCCGCTCCGCTACAATGTAAGCGGGAGACACCTCCGCCTCGTCGGCTCGTCGGCGGCTCTGCGTCCCAGAGGCACCCGAGGGCGGCGCAGGATTCCGACGCGAGGGAGCGGGCTGCACCAAGCCTGCCAGGGAGACGACAGCCAGGACGGCGGCCAGGCTCGGCCAGGCTGGCGGCGAGGAAGCGTGATCCCTCGCATGGTTGTCTTCGGCCGGCTCGCAGCGAAGTGCCCCTTCCAGGCTGCCAGGCTCAGGCGTGCGCACAGCACAGCGCAGCACAGTGAGGCACTTGGCTTGTTTTTCCGCGCGCAAACAAGCCCGACTCGCGTCGGCGAGCAAGCCAGGCAGCCAGGCCCCGGGCTCCGGCCAGGCCGCAAAGCGGAGCGTGGGGGAGTCCCAGCGCAGGCACTGCTGTGGCAGGAATGAAGCGGCATTCGTTTGAAGGAGAACCACCATGTGGCTTCAGTGCGAGTCAAGGCTCGAAACGAAAGCGTCGCGCGGGGCCGGGCCGAGCGCCTGCGGAGTCCGGGGTAGGCCCGCCCGCTACACTGCGGCGTCGTGCGGTGGGGCCCACCCCGGACTCCGCAGGCGCTCCCAGCGGCGGCCCAGCCACTCCGAACCCATGCAGCGCTTTAATCCGCGGATGCAATCCCGGTACCCGCCGCCACCTGGGGACGTGGAATGGCTTGAAAACGGCAAAGGGGCCGTGCGGGCCAGCGCGCGGCGGGTGCTCCACGGAAACCGAAACCCCGTCCCCCACTCCCGGGTGGGGAGGCGGGCCGGCAGCACGGCGGCGGTGCGGTCTGAGGCTCCGGCGACTTGGCGTGCCCGACGACTGCTAAGCTGAAAATTCAATGAGCAGGACCGCAGAGAGGCGAGCTGGCAAGCCCGTGTTCCCCGGGCCGCCCACCGCACTGGAGTCTGTTCCGAGCCAAGCCAGCCCGCGTGCCGCTGGGCGGACACAGTCACACTCGCTGTGGATTTCTCTGTTTGTGACGTATCAGAATGTTCTCACGACCCAGCCATCTACCGCCAGATGAAGAATGGGTTGGGCACGCGATCACACCGCGGGCAGGGAGTTTTCCTCAACTCTTCTGCAACGCGGGCCACGCCGACGTTCAATTTCCTGTCTGGCTGCCGCCGATATGCGAGGCGCTGCCGCCGATATGCGAGGCGCTACGTGAAATGTGGACCCCGTCCCCCTTCCGCACACGTTCTTCCTGGCGAGGCCGTCGCCGAGGTCGTCGCCGAGGCCGTCGCCGAGGAGGGCGTGGATATTTATCCGCGCGGATTATTGGCGGGATCTCTTCTTATTGCATTCCTGAGCCCCCTCCCCCTCCCCTCCCCCTCCGCGACCACGCGTGGTCGTTATGGGTCATCATCGGGGACCTTGCCCCGATTCCACACATGTGCCGCTGTAATGCGGCTTCCATGTCGGACGACAAAGTAAATTTAAAAAAAAAATCTCATTCAACGAACGTTAATGAAAGCAGATGATCCGTCGCGTTTCACAACTGCTGTGATAGCCGAGAGGTTAGAGACGTGGGATCGAGTTACCGCAGGCGGACGTTCGAATACCAGCGTCATATACGTTTTTTCGACTTACTATCATAAGGGTGGTGGTTCGAGGCCATCCGAGCGGAGCCGTGTGCAACAGGCCCACATGCCGGAGGTTCGACTCCTAACAAATATTTCCATTTAATTTTACTGCCTCACCCAGTGCGGTTGAAACCCGTGAACGTGAGCCCGCTCCGTGCATGGGACGTGGTGGTCCAGGGAGTAGAGGCGTCGGTTCCCAATGCTAGGGTCGGCGGTTCGACTCCCTCGACTTCTTGCGAAATTTTGACCGGGTCGGTCGAGTCCTGTTGCGTCAAGAACCCACCTCACGCCGGTCCCCTCATCATGGGCCGTGGTGGCCGAGAGCGTAAAGTCGTGTGATCCCGATGGCGGGGTCCGGGGATCGAATCCTATCATTTCATTACATTTTTCGACCGCCTTCCTCCCCGTGCAACTCAAACCCGTCGTCCAACACGCTGCCAGACGTACAAGCGTGATAGCGTAGTGGTCAGAGTCACATTCACCTGGCCACTCCGCTGTGGGTGTCTAAAAAGCAATCCGCTTCGGCGGGTTGGCCTCGGCACTGGAGCGATGGCGTATTTGATCCATCAATCCAGACCACCCGGTGTGTGGTTGCGGGTGGTGCCTCCTTGACTTGTCGGGGAGGCGATGATAAGTCCTTTGAAGCTGGCCTAAAACGCTGTATGTTCGGTACGGGAGCGCCGGACAGTGGGGGTACCATGGGGTACACAACCAACCCTACGAAAACAAGAAGCTCCCACCAAACCTCTTCTCTGTCTGAGTCTCTCTCTGTCTCTCTGTCGTCTCACTCTACGTCCCGCCCCTCAAAGAGCTTCGTACTGGGTGCTCTCACCCAGCTGCCTGAGCTTTGGGGTCCTACTGGGTCCCCCGGCGAACGCTTAGGGTCGCTGACGGGATTAACCCCAGGTACCTGATAGCACCGGTTCCCATCCCGAACACCGAAGTAAAGCAGGAGGCCTCCCCATTAAGACTGGGGAGGGGGTGTAGAGTTCAATTTTTTTTTCTTTTCCCTTTCAAATTTCTCAGTCAATTACTCGTTCGGTTTCCTTATACGGGGTAGTATGCGGGCTCATTCCAAAGATAGTAATTAAAATTGTGTATGAAACAAAATATTATATCTGCTAAAAAGGCTTGGGCTGACGTAACACACCTGCACTGTCGTTATGTTTGTGCGGAGGGGGTTGAATTAAAACGCGAGGGTGGCTGACCTGATGCAGGACGAGACGACGGCGTAGGTGGGGGCGAACTCGACGGCGCAGGTGGGCTTGCCGTCGATGACGGGCTGCGGCGCGTCGGGCCGGTGCAGGCCCAAGCTGATGGGCAGGAAGGAGATGAGCCCCGCCAGCATCCACACGCACCCGATGGAGGCCATGGCGATGCGCCGCGTCACCCAGCGCCCGTACCTGCAACCAGCCGTTTTTTTTTACAGTTTGTTTTTAAACTTGGAAACCGTTGAAAATGCGACTTAGCCGGAGCCGACGGCGCTGGCGAACGCACCTGAGCGGGTCCTTGATGTGGATGTAGCGGTCCAGGCTGATGGCGCACAGGTTGAGGATGGACGCCGTGGAGCACATGACGTCGAAGGCGATCCACGTGTCGCAGAGCTGCGGCCCGAACAGCCAGAAGCCCAGCAGGTCGTTGAAGGCGGCGAAGGACATGACCAGGGCGGCCACGAAGAGGTCCGCGATGGCCAGCGAAGCCAGGAACAGGTTGCCGATGCTCCGCAGCCCCCGGTCCGTGTAGATGGCCACGCACACCAGCACGTTGCCGGCGATGGACATGACGATGAGCACGGCCAGGAAGATGCCTGCAACACGACACGGCAAGCTCTTATGCCAAACTGCAGCGACTCGCAATCAAATTCACGGAGCGACACACCATTAAATTCGTCTGGTGGTCCCCGTTCGTGTTTCACCCGGGTTCGGCTCTTTCTCTTTGTTTTTCGCCGTCTGCAGCCTGCAACCGACATGTGCGCCACGAGCGGCCGCTGCGCCCGAACACGCCCGCCCCGCCCCGCCCCGCCCCGCCCCGCCCCTCCCTTCCTCATTTCGCAGCTCGGAATGTCGCCCGCCGCCAAAGCTGATACGATCGGTATAAATAACACTGCTCCGCGGCGTTTTTCTTCGGGAGAAAATGGAGAGAAGACGACGAGCGGCAGCAGGACAAAAATGCAAACAAAATTGTCTGCACGAAATGGCGACGAGGATCATTTATTTATTTTTCTACTCCATAGCCCGCCTCATCGCTGACCGGGAACGAAAATGAAGGACTCCTTTGCCGCGCGAGACATAAATTATTCTGTCGTAAAAAAAAGGCGAATAATTTCAATATAAATACGTCGCCAGGGCGGCGACGGGGCAGCGCGGACGGAGCGAAAACACGGCCCGGGAGGGGAGGGGGCGAAATCTGTGTAGCGGCGTCTCATTCACAGCGCCGCGAACACCGAGGGGTGGGGGAGGGGGGCGAGGCAGGGGGCGGGGGAGTCGCAGAAACAGATGGGACGTAAATAGAGCGGACGCAGATAGCGGCGAAATAATGATTCCAGCGAACGCAATAACAAGCTTTTACGGCGCGATATTTTGCTGTCGTCATCGTCGTCGTCGTCATCGTCGAGGAGAGACGTGTCGCTGGACCGGCCACGCTCTTCGTCGGCTCTGTTGCCGCGGTGCCAGCGGGCGGTACAGGCCACGGACGGTCATGTAGGGCTCGATCCCCAAGGCCTCGCTGTTTCCCGCGACAAACACGCGGAAAACCAGGAAAACCGGCTGAGCCACGCCGCGGAAAATCCGAGGACGCGGCGGTAGCGTAACGAACGAGCAGGCGGCGGGAACCGCGCTGCTGTTCCTCGCTCCGTCAGCAAAAGTGCGGCGGGCTGGTTCCGAACGGTGCCCTGTCTCTGTCGACCTCGCACCCCCGAGGGACGCCCCGCGAGTGCGCGAGAGACAGAGCGAGCGGCGAAGGGGATGAGCGTGCTGGGCGGTGCCGGGCGGCGAGGGCGGCGGCGAGCGAACCGCGCCGCTTGCCTGCGCTTGCCGCTCACCGCCAGGCTGCCAATTCGCTTGGCGCTTCGCACCCACTCCTCGGCAATCAAGTATTGATGGCACCGCCGCCTTTGGCGCGCCATCTGTGGCAGTTCGCTCTGGCCGTAGCCGCTCCGGCCTCGCCTAGGCCGCCCTGGAGGCCGCCGAGGCCCAGCCGCCGAGGCCCAGCCGCCTCGCGGGGAGGGCGCCAGTTAGGAGAACAAGTAGTGCCAACTGCCGACGGCCCCGCCCCGCCATGGGGCCGGCAGGCTGCGGGGCCAGCCCGCGGCCTCCGACAAGGGCGCGGCCCCACTGTCGGCGCAGTGAGACAGCGCGCTAAGCGCCCCGCCGAACCAATTCGCGAACCAGTTCGGGGTAATGCGAATCGGACGGCGTTGGGAGGATAGGCGCGCCTTTCTGTGTGTGTGAGTGTTAGGGGAGGCCTCCGTGGTTCGTTCACACGGCAGCCTTATCTGCAGGGTGTCTGCGTGTGCGATCGACTGCGAGCAGTTTGGACGGCAGGCACGCTCGGGAGGCTCCGGCTGACAGGACTCCAGCGAGCCCTTCCTGCGCCCCTTCCTCATCCCGGACGGCTTATGAGTGGCGCAGCAGACAGTCAGTTTGAACCCAGCAGCGCGAATCCAAAGTAGTGCGGCTCGGCATCCTGACTGGCGTAATGAGAAACGGTGCAGCAGCCACTTTCAGTGCCTTACTTCCTTACTTCCCGACCGCGTTCCGGCCCGGCTCGGCCCGGCTCGGCTCGGCCCGGCTCGGCTCGGCTCGGCAGCGCGACAAAGGACAGCCGCAACAGCGCGACATCGACGGCGTGCCCCACAGGGGAACGCGCGGAAGCCATCATCGCTTCTTCGCAGTGAGGATGGGGAATGAAACGAACGGGGGCAAAAAAGGAGGGAAAGGAAAAAAGTGGTTGCTTTGCATCGTAAAGAGCCCCAATAGCAGCGCAGGGCGGCGCGGGGTTCCGCGGGAAGAGGTTTCATTAAGCCGAGATGACGGAACGACGGAACGGCAGCAATGAGATGAGAGGGAGGGCGGCGTGGCTTGGCTTGGCTTTCACCTGGGCGGGGCGGGGCGCGGCGGGGCGGGGGGATGGGAGCCCCCTGGAAATGCCACTCGGCCAAGGGCAAGCCATGATTGTCGTGACGCAGGGCTGCTGCTGCTTATCTCGTTGCAGGACGCTAAGGTGGTTACGAAGCTCAGGCTGTTTCTTCCGGACTCGTCGTTTTTTGGTCCGGGGATCGTGACGCCCACCTAACGCCTTGCTGCGCCTCGCCTCACTCCGCCACACCTCCACCGCCCGCCCCGCCCCGCCCTGAGCCCCGCTGAGGACAATGCAACGCCGCAAGACGTTGCACGGGGCATCAGGTCGCCGGCTTGGCAGGGCTGTCCTCTCCGAGATAGCGCAGGCGGCAGGCCCGCGGGGGGCGGGGTGGATTTGGGGCTTGGCTTAGGGGAGCGAGAGGGTGGCGTGGGCCCTGCGACACGGCGCCGCACGGCTCTGTGTTGTACTGCTTTGTCTCGAAAGGGGCGTCGCCTCGCTACGTCGCCACGCTCCCCGTCTCCCTCACACAAAGCAACGCGACGCCCACACTGCCCCCCCTCCCCTACGCACACGTACTCACTTCATCCCTCCTACACGCGCTCACGCACGCTCACACAAACTTCATTTGGAATCAACAGGTTCCACAACGGGCCTCCAGGCCGGCCTGGACCCGGTCTCGTTCCGTCTCGTTCCGATCGAGGGCAGGGCGGCCCATTCTGGACACGCACTATTTCGTGGTCCGGCCGCTCGGACCGCCGTGCCGTGCCGCGCCGCCTCCCATAGCGGCCCTGCCCGGCTGTTTCTCCTAGCCCTGGACCTGCCGGTGACAGTGTGACACATCTGCGTTGTGCGGTGCGGCCGGGCACTGCCCCGCCCCACCCCGCCCCGCGGTACCACTCCCCGCGCTCCCCCGCTGGGATGGACCTCAGCCATCAAGGGTTTAGACGGACCTTCATCCCCACAGAAATATACTTATCCGACAGCGGTCGAGGGACGGGATTGGGGAGGGGGAGGGGGAGGGGCCATCATTTCAGCCGGCCGCAGATGGAGCCCGGCCAGCGGGCCCCGAGCCAGGCAGCGCCGGGCGGCCAGCAGGTTGGATCCGAACGGCGCTTTCGTCGCTCTGTCTCCCTCGCGCGCGGACGGAACGCCCCGCGAGAGCGAGAGAGACGGAGCGCCGCCTGAAGGCGTGCGATACACTTTGCGTGCAGTTTGCGCGGCTGCGCTCAGCCTGCAGCTCGCGCGATGCGGCGCCCCGAAGGCCGTGGAGCACGACGGTGAGGTGACGTCACGCCGGTACGACGGCCACTTGGAGGGGCTTTTGATGTCGCCGGGGCTGCGCTGGAGGGCGGAGCAGGCGAGGGCCTAAAAGGGCCGGAGTTTTGACACCGAGGACCACCTGCTGCCTGGCCGTGCCGTGCCGTGCCGTGCCGTGCCGCGCGGAGGGTGCTCGCCCCGGCCAAGGCAGCCAAGCCAAGGGCACAGGATAGCACCGTATCGCATCGGCCGATCAAAGGACACAATTCGGGTGTTTTCTTTTTCGTCGCCGCCCGCGCCTCGAAAGTCGCAAAGTCGTGCGGTGCACAGACACAAAGTGAGGGGGTTGCCCGCGGCGAGGTGGGGCGAGGCGGTCGGTGCGGGTCGCGGCGCTCATCGCCGTGCTGGCACACTGGCAGAGTGCGCTCAATACGGGAACGGCCGCAAGGGCCCCGCAGAGACAGAGCCGGCAAGCTGATCACGAATGCATGCCGAACAGCAAAAACATAAACTAATGCGAACACACAAAACAAACACGTGGACTTTTTTTAAAAACGGAAACAACGGCAAAAAACACGACAAAAGCACCAGAAACGCTGGGTGTGATAAGCCTGGTTTAACTTTCATGAATTCAGTGGGGCAGGTCGGGCGGCACACTCTCGCTTTAAGCAGCTAGTCTGGCGGCGACGAGTCGCGAGCCGCCAGTGCGTGTCTGGAGGAGCGTGGCGGGGCGGGGCGTGGCGTGGCGTGGCGGGCGGGGCGGGGCGGGGCGGGGCGGGGCGGGGCGGGGTGGGGCGGGGCGGCTACGCACAGACCTAGCCGCGAGCAGCCAAGGCGGCCGAGGCACACAATTACGCCAATTTGCATGCGCCCAACCGGACGCCATAGCAGAAGGGGTGCCGCTGCCGCGAGAGTTGAAAAGGGCCGACGTGGGGGGAGGGGGAAGGGGAGGGGAGGGGGGGGGTGTCGCCGGATCCATTGCAGCTCACCGGACGCAGGGCGCCGCGCCGGGCCGTGTCGTGCCGCTCTGGCTGTGGCCGGAGGACTCCTGGCAAAGCCGCTGGGACTTATGCAAATAACTGAACAAACGGCTGCAAACACTCTCTGACTCTCTCTCTCTCTCTCTCCCTCTCCTCTCTCTCTCTCTCTCTCTCTCTCTCTCTCTCTCTCTCGCTCTCTCTCTCTCGCTCTCTCTCTCTCTCTCTCTCTCTCTCTCTCGCTCTCTCTCTCTCTCTCCCTCTCCGCGCCGGCTGGCTGGAGACAGGGATTGCTCCAGGTATTCCCCGAACCCTTCATAAATGCCCCACCCCACGACACAATCAGCAGGCAGCCGTTGCGGGGCTGAATCCCCCGGCAGTGCTGTAAGCACAACACGCGCCGCTCGAATCGAAATCACTCCCGGAGGGGCGGGGGGGGGTATAAAGATTAATCGCGAAGGAGGTCCCCGACACACGCGGAAGCGGTCGTCAG